GTTCGTTCCAGAGGGTCGGAGCAGCCACAGGGAAGGCTCTCCTCCGGGTAGTCGCCAGTCGGCACTGGCCGGCGGATGAAATTCAGAGGAGGCCTAATCTGTGGGATCTAATCGGTCTAGTGGAGGTGACAGATGCAGATGGCAGTGCAGATAGACTTGGGTTTTTCTCTGAAGATCCATTGAAATTTATATCTTTTTCATGTAATGTCCACAAGATTTCCATTGAAGAGGTGTCTGGGATCTGTAGAGAACCATTGACCTCTCTCTAAAGCTTTCTGTCAAAGGAAAGAAGTGTGTGTGTGTGTTTGTGTGTGTGTGTACATGCATGCTGTGGATTGGTGGCCGTACCACACACATCAGGGGGAAGGGACAAACCAGCTTGAGGTCCTGCTTTCCCCTGAATCCTTGCTGTGAGATGTTTCCTCCCATCTTCAGGAGAAGTTTGGCCATTTCTGCCTGGGAGACCCTCGGCTGAGTCTGCCTTGCAGGCAACTGTGGGAGGATAGCCAGAAGGGAAGCCATGGAGCTGCCCACAAGGCTCAGGCTAAAACTGCCAAAGGGCAGCAAAAGGTGCCCTCCCCAGATGATGCCAGCCCAGTGCCAATGTGGCATTTTAGAGAAATTCCACTTCCCAGTAAGATCCACTCATTCCTTAACAAATTTGTCAGGCTTTTGTCCCACTATTTCTCCAAGGCGGTTTCCATGAGGATTGCCCTTCGCTTTCGGCAGGAGCAACACATTGCCAGGAGGCTCACCTAAAATTCCCCCCCCCCCAGGGGGGGGGAGAGAAGCTGTGTGCAGGACTGCACCAGCTGGAGCTGTTGCTTGTGGACCCCAGTCAGCGTCACCTTGGATAAAGTGGGATATAAATGCAGGATGAGCAAGAGGAAAGCATTGAGTGCTACACCATCCTGGCCCCCTGGGCAAGGCAAGAGTGTGGGACAAAGGGAGCCAGCCGAAATCATGGCAGGAGCCACTAAACCAGCAAGTTAAATGGACACTTGGGGAAGCCTCCCTCGATGAAAACAAAGCAGGAGAATCCTTATCCTTCTAAGCAGCTGGATTTTGGACTGCTGTAACTAAAGCGCTGCTTTTCTCCAGGCAATTGCCAACGGCCCATTTTCAGCGCATGCAATTAATTTCCCTTAATAGCTCATTAAGCAATTGTGGTCACATTTAGGCTCAGATCTTTCAACTTGATTAGACCAAAACCCCATCAGGTTCACTTTTTAATCCGTGATTGACCACATGCTTTTAGAAAAGAAACAGGCAGAGCACATGGAGCTAAGCATCCTTCCTCCTGAATGCCCTTGAAATCAGGAGCCTTGGCTAGCCTGTGGCAAGTGGGCACCAGTCAATCAAGGGATGGCAGGGATGAGCACTCTGTCCTAGGAAGATTCCAGCAAGAGAAGGTGGTGAGGGGGGGGGTGCAAGCCTGGGAATGCCTCTCCTCTCAGGAATAATGGGGGGGGGCAGAGAGTAACCGGAAGAATGCAGATAATTTGAAAATGTGAACCTTTAGAGGTTTTTTAGAGGTTTTTTAG